CCCTCCCGCTCCCCTGTGACACAGCGTTCTCTTTCCTGCTCCCCTCCGATACAGCGTTCCCCCTCCCGCTCCCCTGTGACACGGCGTTCTGCCCCCTGTGACACAGCGTTCTCCCCCTCCCATGAGAGGCAGCATTCCCACACTCCCTCTGAGAAACCCCTCGTCCCCAATCCGCTCCCTAAGGCAGCCGTCGATCCCACCTCCACCTCGAAGACACCCCTAGTCCCCAATCCCCTCCCCAAGACAGTTGTCGATCCCACCGCTCCTTCTCCACAGTCCTCGTCTTTCGAGATTGAAGTTGATCGACAAAGACGACCAGGACGTGCTATTGTAAGTCCATATCTACCCGAGGACTACAGACGGTATGCCAGAAAGGAGCGCGCGTTTGATCGGTTCATGGCATCCGAAGACAAAGAAATGTAAGTACATCCAAAAGATCTTTTATTGTTTATATAAAAAAATAACTTTTTATTATATTATTTAATAGGAGGAATGTCGGCGTTTTATATGAGGTGGACCGGAAGTGGTTTTAGGAGTTGCTTAATCCGGATAATATGATGGAGGACGAGGTATGCATATGTTTGTCTTGTAATATCTTAACGTATAAAAATGAATTGATGGATGATATTTGGTTTGATTTTATAAAACAGCACGTGAATGCATACTTGGGGATTATGCAAAGCAATCCAAAATTCTTGAAGTTGCAGCAACCGGTGAAGATGTTGGACACTTATACCATCGTGCCGACTACATTTTTTGTGAGATTATTTTAATCCTTTCTCTTTTCCCTGTCATTCCATTTTTTATTAATAATTTTATTAGTAACATTATTATTTATTACTATTATGTTGTATTTTATATAGATGATGCTGGAGGACTTGGAGAAGGAGATCGATAAGGGGGAAGTGGACCCGGTCTCGTCGGAGACCCTCCAATCTTTGATTCGCATTGCAGAAGAGGGGCTCAGCCGATGGGGGAATCCGTGTTCTTGGAGGGACACTCAATTTGTAAGTTTTCAATGATTCTGAATCAACAAATATTGCAACCTTTCCTAAAAAAAATTAGTGAATTTCTTACAACTCAATGCAACATATTATTGGAGTAGTGAATTTGTCGAGCCACTACGTGGCTGTCCAGATCTTTTTATGCAAGGGGACGATACGTGTGTTTGACCCCCTACGACATACGTATGAAAAAAAGAACGAGCACATTCGCGAATCACGCGTCAAAGGACTCCAAAAGATCCAAAAAGGAATTCCACTGATTGCCACGTATGCGGCGGGAGTAGAGGGAGTGAGAGAAAAGTTCGAATTGAAATTCATGGAGCCCAAAAATACTATGTTGCAACATGACAGAATTTCTTGTGGTGTACGCGTTGTGGAGATGGTGCGAGCACTGCTAACAACGGGGAAGTTTTCCAGAGCCAAGTCTACCAAGAAGTGGGCAGAGGAAGTGAGGCGCAAAATGGCTATGGAAATTTTTGAGTTTAGTACAGATGGAAACACAATTACCATGTAATACATTTTTATTTTTATTTTTTTGCATTTTATTATATGTTTGATGTTTGTTGCATTTTGTTGTTTGTTGTATGTATGTATGAGAATATATTGAACTAAATTAAACAATGAAAGGTGAAAGAAACAAAAAATAAACTTTCGAGTAGAAGTGCGAAGGGGGTATGCGAGCAATATACGGTAATTCGCATACCCCCTCGCATAAATGAAAGATGATATAAATAAAAA